TGAAAGGTCAAGGAGGAGCTTTTTCCCCCAGATCATAAGGCTCCTAAACCAGGACAAGTCTCAGTGCCCCTAAGTCTCCCACTAGACTCTACAGTGACTCTTCAGTCACTGTAACAGTGACATCACTCTGTGTACACTATGTTCGAGTGCCCATAATCCCTTGAGTACTGTTTACATTCAGTTCACACTGTCTAAATTGTTGGTACATTTCTCAGGTCTCTCGCACATTGCGCTTATATTGCACAGCAGAATCACTTTTACCTTATCACTTATGTATAGATTATGTACAGCTGGATGTATTTCATATATTTTTTATATCTTTATTTTGATATATTTTATTATTCTCTTATTATGCACAGCCGCTTGGAGTGACCAGGGTCACATTTTCATATTTCATGTTGTATGTGTGCAACTGTTTATGTGACTAATATACCTCATGAATCTGGAATCTTAAAAAGGAGAGTCGATCAAAGGTCAATCCCGTTTCTGTCATGGATCCGGGCGGATTTGGAGCGAGGAGGAGGCACAGTGCAGGCAGGAAGATGGACGACCCCTCTGGCGGCTCACTGGACAAACGGGCTTTATTAAAAAAAACAGAAAACAATGGGAATACTACAAAATAAAAAGGATAAGGGGGAGTCAAAAGCAAAAGGGGATCAACAGAGGGGTCAGGACAACAAGGCGCAGGCAGGCAACAAATAACACAGCATACTACACCCATCAATAACTCCAGAAAGAACAGAACAGGATCAGGAAATACAAGAGGTTAACAAGGATAATACAGGACAGGTGAAAACAATTAACCAATCGTAGAGGGTGCAGGACAACGAGTAATCAGGGTAGAATTCACAAGGACTGGCACAAGAAAACAGGTGAAACTAATAATTAACTCAGGGAACTACGGAATGAAACAGGGAACCTAAGAAACTAACAGAAACGGGGAAACTCTGAACTAAGGGGAATAACAGAGGTAAAACCACAATCGTGGGCACAAACGTACGTTTTAAGAGGAAAGGTATAAAGAGATGTTCTCTTTCTGGGGAAGTTGTTGTGTTTAGTGTGTTGGCATCACATGGCTTTGGGTCTGCTTGGGGAGTATATAGACCTTAAACCTAGAAACTGGTCCTCGGAAATGGCAGCATGATGACGATCTTTGTAAGAGGCGCCCGGCATATCTCTGAGTTGACAGGCATCGCTGATGAGCATCAACGCAGCACCGTCGCATTGTGCCAGCGCCCTTCAGGTCTACAAAGTCGCTTTGCTGTGCTCGCAAATCTCAACACAGAGAGCTGAATCAGAAATATAACAGAATTCCAAACAAAGTAAAGTTTCCTGACTGTCTCCAGCAGAGAGAGGAAGGAGATCGTGTATAACTGCTATGTTGAACCTGAAAAAAAAACATTTAAATGTCTGTCACAGCACAAGCTAAATACCAGCATGACCATTTATATTACATTATGTTGAGATATTTTATCGACAGTCTAAATGTGTTCTGGGTTTAGTGGTTTGATAGCCTTTTTATTCCAGTCATTTGCAGATTCGCATAATTCCACTACAGTTCTTCCATGGAACAAATTATTATTTTGTGCAAGAATCACTCTCAGGTTAGGAAGGCAAGAAGAGGCAAATGGAACCGGAATGGGAGAAAGGGACAGGAACTAGGGAAGGGGTGATGTGACCTTAACTCACTTAGCAGGAACAGTGATACACAGAAAAGACAGCAGTTGGGCAACAGACCGGAACCAGGATCAGCATCAGGACCTGATGGGATCAGTGTGGCGTGAGAAAATAAACTTCAGTCTTATAATCATGAGAAATGATGCTTTAGAATTTCCTTCTCTAGCTGAGCATCTTTTCCTTTTATGGTCTCAGGTCCATAAATACATTTTCTTTTGAAAAGTATCTATATTTAGCATTTTTCTTTCACCTAATGGGACATCGGCTCCTGACTAGAGATCCCCAGGCATCTCGGTCCTGGGCCAACCTCTCCAGTTCTCCTCAACCTCTCCGGTTCTTGGCTGACCTCTTTTATTCTTTCCCTGGAAATTCCATGTGAGAGCTTGTCTTGTGGTGTTTGAGCCCGATCTAGGGAGGTTGTGGTCTAGCCACCACCAGTGTCACCGGAGAATCTCTTCCTCTTCATGCCCTTGTTTTGTTTGCTGCGACAGTTCTTGGTTGCTGAAGGTGGCAAATCTAGAAGATCCTTCTCAGATAGGTGTTGATAAAAAAATGCATCTTCTTGGTGGTGGTAACAGTGGTCCTCCATGTCTCAGGGCCATGTAGTAGGACTGTCTTCACGTTGGCGTTGAAAACCCGTATCTTGGAGGAACGAAGTCATATTCTGCTCAGTGGCAACAGGTTTTTTTGCGCACTCTGGTGCAAAGACATGCAATGTGGTGGGTCAGTCACTCTAAGTTGCTCATAGTGTAGCTTCTGGAGTAGCTTATAGGGTGTCCTCTGCCTTTCTGGGATGAGCACCAAGCTCAGCAGGAATCTCTACTGGAGAAGAAGACATGAAAAATAGATGCATCTACTGCTGTTTTTCTACAGACGTGTCCCTTGTAATCCCTGTATTTGCCAGTTTTTTCTTTATCGCATATAGTCCTCCCAGTGCTTAAGTTGCAAGTGCAGCTGGATCATTTTGACCTAATTTCAGTTGAACCGTCATAAAGAAACAGGTAAAATGAAAGAAGAGAGAAGAATGTCGGAAGGAAAAGCGACCCTTTCTCACGGTAGACAGCTTTGACCCACAGGAAGTAGAGATCAGTCTGATTATTTTGCAGTGTGTTTCGGTTTGAATTAGTCACACTTAAAGGGCCAGTTTGCTTATTATGTTTTGTTTTATTTAATAATTATCTTCCAAATGTTTTTGCTTTTGTCAATATCATGTTCGTGTAAGTGGATGGTGTGTTGTGAGGTGTGTGAGTGTGCCCTGCGATGGGTTGACACCCCATTCTGGGTTGTTCACTGCCTTGCGCAAGTAGCCTGCAGTATAGGCTCCGGACCACCCGCATCCCTGAATAGGATAAGCAGTTACAGAAAATGGATGAATCTCATGTTCCCTCTTATGATCACTCAGGATGAATAAGATTCCGTGGTAACTCCTTTACTGAGAGCAGAATCCCCCCCTCCCCCCAACCTGAATGGATCGATCCACTGCCTCTTCACACTTGGCAATGCATCACTCAAAAGCCCATCAACTGCAAATTGCACGGATGTCACTTCTAGCCCATCATAATGTCTACCCCTCCAGCTCTGGCTACGCCTCGATATCCTGTCTATTAAAATTACAAACAGATGTGGAGACGAGACACACCCTTGCGGAGGTCGGCACCCTCTCTAATCAGCTTTGATTGTGTGCCAAGGATGCAGTCATAACTCATAGTGCATTGATACATTGACTGAATAGCATGCCACTCTCCTCACTACCTCATTTCCTGTAGCACCTCCCACAGTGTGTACCGGGGCATATGGTCATATGCCTTCTCAAAGTCCATAGACCACATGTAGATTGTGTTAGCGTAGCTAGCATAACACATCAGTTTGAGGGTAAAGAGTTGTTCCACTGTTCTACGGCCCGACCAGAATCCGCATTGTTAATCCTGAGTCTTCGGTGTGGCCTCCAGGGTTGTTTTTTTTTTTTAAATAGGAACCATGACCTTTGTTTGCCAGAGGTACTTTACCCACTTTCCGCGCATAATTATGTCACCCCAAAAATATTCAGTGATTCCAGCATCTCCAGATGGATCTACTCCTGAAGCCATCCCATTACAGAGGTTCTATGACTAACTGAAGGTGCAGTGATAGACTCTGATCCAGCAGTGAGAGTCAGATGAGGCCCATGGTTAGCTAGCTCTGCCAAACCCCCCATCCTCACCTATGGTCATGAGCTGTGGGTGATGACCGGAAAAACATGATCGTGAGTACAAGCGGCGGAAATGAGGATTCTTCACAGAGCTGCTGGCCTCGGTCAGTGCATCAGGATGAGGAGTCAGTTGAGGCGGTTCCGGCATCTCATACAGATCTCATGTGGTCCCTAGGGAGCTGTTCCGGAAACATCTCACTGGGGCAGACCCAGAAAATACTGGAGGGATCATGTCTTCCAACTGGCTTGTGATGGCTGGGGACTCTAGGGGAGATTCTAAAGAAAAAGAGGTTTGATCTGACCTTTACATCATCGCACCACAGAAGAAGAAAACAGGATATTTTCATCTATCAATACTCAGTGAATAAAAATAACAGCGATAACAAGCCAAGTCAGAAAGCACCTTGTGCAAGAGTTTTGGACGGAAAAGCAACGTCAGTGTGACAGGATTATCCAGCAGAGCGGTGGAGTGACTCCTGCTTTTCTCACCTCTGTGAATCACTGGGGGGTGAACCTCTGGGAAGTTTTGTGGAGCTACTCTTAGTGAATCACCAAACTCAATCACTAACATTTTTGAGATTTTGCCATTTAAGGGTAATAATGTCTCTTGGCACATCATTTGCGTTTTACAAGAATGGATGTGAATGTGTCCAAACACTATTACCCTGCGCAGTCAGTTTTGCCTGTATTCACCTGTAAAATAGAATTTCACAGCCATTTGTACTTCTCCACAAAAATCTAGCCTAAGGGTGATGAATCATCAACTTTCAACACAGCACAAATCATTCCAGCTCATTTCAGGAGTGGGTTAACTTCAAGGGACATGCCTCTCCTTTAATTTCACCAAAGGTGAATGTAATGAGCTGACCAGACTTCTGATGGTTGAATAGTATCTTCCAGTGAGGTCTAGCAGGCAGCATCCTCATCAGCGTGGCTCATTAAGATAAATAATTCAGTGTAAGGAAAAGGTGCCTCAGGTTCAACCTCCAAATCCAGGGGAGTCCCCCATATGCCCAGATTAATTTGTCATTTGTTCAAATGATAAATAAAAAACAAAAATTGAAAAGATTTCATCTTTATTGAGATCTCTATTGATCTTTCCACTTTTATTGATATAGAACACTTAGATGGCAATTTCAGTGAGCACTCGAGACTATGTATTCATGGTGATCTATCAAAAACAAGCTAAACAACAAGAATAATACCAGTGGAAAGTGACTTATCTGTTGCCTTGCTTCCAGACAACACAAAACAAAGTGGATCGAGTCACAGTCAGCTTATCCACTGTGGTGACTGTTCAGATAAGCTCCGGTCACATCACGGAGCGTCATCTCACGGAGCGTCACATCACGGAGCGTCACATCACGGAGTGTCACATCCCGATGGCAAAAGCTAACCGTGGTTCACACAGAGCAGTAAATAGAGGTTATTCTCCACCAGTGTTTCTCAAACCACTCTTTAGGGGCCCACACACAGTCATCATTTTTGCTCCCTCTCAGTTCCTGGTAGGCAGGGAGCTGGGAGGGAGCAAAAACATGTACCGAATCGAGGTCCCCAAGGACCAGTCTGAAAAACACAGTCCTCTGCCTTGACCATTACAGACAGATTCACAGTTCATTAATATATCAACTCACAGTTCATTAATATATTTACAAAGCAATTAATAGAGGGTATTGTTAGACAATAAATGTATGTATTATTATTTAGATAAATATATACCAGGAACAATAAATAGGAAAAATAGTCACTGTATTTTCATCAACAGTGTCAGTTCATTTGTCAGTGCCACGGTAGTTCAAGTAGAAGCCTCAGGCCAGCTCTGTGTCACTGGTTTAGCACCAGTGGCTGGTGTGTTGTTGTGCAGTGCCATTCCGCAGTGGGTTCTTGCAGAAGTGCAGCCAGCTAATTGCGATGCCGGCCGAGGTGAGTCATGCCAGAAAAAGCATGTGATACTGGAGACACCCTGCATTGAGCAATAAGGACACCATACTCTGCCTGTAATGACTTGGTTCCTCACGGCTATGACAGTGTTGCTTTGGATGGCTGAAGATGAATTGATATATCTGGGAAAATTAACCATCCATCCCTTCATTTTTCAAACAATCATCCTGGCCAAGGTCGTGGAGAGGTGGGGGGGGGGGACACTGGATCCTATACCAGGCGCTACAGGGAGCATGGAAGGGGTACACCCTTGAAAGGGACAGAAAAGGAATTTTTAAAAAATGGAAAAATAAACAAAAATCTGCCACGTTCTGAAAGCAGTCAATGGAGTGCAAAGGGAATGACTGCGCAGCTCTCCGTCAAACTCACGTTCATTTTAAACGGACGTTCACCCGCTGGGAAATGCTAAGAACAGAGAGTCAGCCAACTGATAATAATGGACATAATTAAATTAAAGAATTAAACGGAGGTAATTCTTTTGAAGAGAGGAAGGGGAGAGGAACAGCTGGGGGACGTCTCACAGAGTACCTGTTAGCGTGAGCCTGATGGCGCTAGCGAAGGCAGCTCTTTCTGCATTGGGTGCTGTTGCAGAAGATCGTGTAATAGACCCATGTGTCAGCCAGCCACAACGCCCCCTTGAGGCAGCGGGTGAAACTGCGCAGCACTGATACAGCCAGCAGGCAAGCCTTCAGTGCGGGTCCCTGGACTGGGAGCGGGCTGTGGCCGACGGCCTGGACCAGCAGCAACTTCCCCAGGGTCAGCGCCCAGACGGCGCCGCTCAGCATGCGGGCGTGGTGGACCGTGCGCAGCCGCCGCGTCTCCTCCGCCCACCACCTCATCAACACCACCTCCAGGCTCAGGCAGCTGAGGAGCAGCGAGCTGGCTTGGCGCTGGGCTCCCAGCAGCCCCTGCACCAGCGCCCCGGCCACCTCGTCACCCCACCACACCCCCAGAGCCTCCAGGCCCCAGCGCAGTGGCAAGAGCACGTCGGTCAGGACCAGCTGGCCCAGTAGCACGTTGGAGGCCTTCCAAGAGATGCGGGGGGAGCTGAGGAGCAGGGCCGCGTGCGCGCTGGCCAACGTCCCCACCAGGAGCACCAGCTCGCTCGCCTCCGGCAAGACCAGCACCTGCAGGTATTTCAGCAGCAGGTAGCGGCGCAGGCCGCGGCGCGGGTCCCTGGGCTTTAGGCAGCCGCCCGCGGTCCCCCTACAAGGAAGGCGCACTGCGTCAGGACAGGAGAACCATCCAATCGATCCTCTCTGATGTCTCATCCGAAACCAGGCGTCCGATACGCCCAATGAAATTATTCGGCCTTATTAAACAGCAAATGTAACCTGATATGCAATCAGTCAAGCAACTAATTAGCAGCTGATATTTTTTATTAGTGCTAGACGTTTTATTTATTTAGTAGACGCTGTTATGTGATGTACACTTTTCGAGAGAAAGCAGGGTCTCTGAACTGGTGACCTTCTGACCACAAGCAGTGTCCTAATCCCTCAATAGCCATAATGAATACTTCAATAAAATATTATTAATTCGCATTTTATCTACCTAGGAAATGCTTTTATCTAAAGTAATGTATACAGGGCAGGAGCCCTAGGCAATTATAATTTGATGTATACAGTTTTATTTTTGCATTATTTTTAATAATGCAACCCAGGAAGTACAGGTATTATAGGTTATATTGCGTGAATATGCTTTGAGGCAGAATTTTTTCCACTACTAGCTGGGAAACAAGAGAAGAATAATGAATAAAAAAAAGACAAGTTCCTTAAAAAATGCCCTCTGGACATAGACAGAACAGGGCTTTGGCCTGCTGAAGATCTGCCAAACTTACGTGTGTTTGCAGGCTGCTGGCTGAGCAAAGGGATTCTCCGCTGTCACCATGATTTCCTCCACGCAGTTTTCCCGTGTCTCCCGCTGAGAGGTGGTGGCGAAGGCCAGGTCACGAGTCACTAGTGCTGGCAGCTGTCTGTCACTGGGCCGCTGTTGCGTTTGAGTGTTAGTAGTGCGTGTGTGAGCGTTATAGGCGGGTGGGAGATAGCCCCGTCTCCTGCCTAAGGCCGGGCTGATCCAATAGCGAGGCTCTTCACACTGGGCCAGATTCCATGGCATGATTCACCAAGCTGTGATGTAATACAACCATATGAAAAGGTTAACAAGAAATACTTCTTTCATGTTTTGCCGGGAAGATCAAAATACTAGATATTTAAAGAAGGTGAAAAACATTAGCAACATCCTCTCTGGGCGATGTCCAGTGAATTTATATAGTACTGTTGTCTAGATTTTTGTGTTATCTAAATACAGTAGGCTTTAAATATTTACTCATTTTGTGGTGCTACTGTCAGCCAGCTAAACAGTGTCAAATTGAAGATCAGATGAAGTGACAAGTTCTGTAACAAAATTTTAAAAGGGCTGTCCTGTGCTTTTTTCTTTGATAGCCATAAAATGTTTAAATAACTGTTAAAAATGCATAGTATCTCTCACCAAACCCAGTTTGTGAGTGTGACACATTGTTTATAATTCTGTCTTGTTACCGCAGCTGCCTGTCGGTCTCTATTTACCTGCTGAAAGCTTATGTCAGCGACGGAGGATACGTCCACAAGGGAGCTTTCTGTCTGGAGATGTGACAAGTCACTCTAGCATGCTAGTGTGACTCTCCCACCAGGTACTTGGTAAAGACCAACCGGTCTCACCAGACGAGTACGAAACCCCACCCCCACTCTTCATAACAGGGATTCTGGATGCTGTTCCTGGTTCCTTTGAATTACTCATTACAGTATTGTCTTTCTTTCCCTGGAATACATACAGTATCTCCCTCGCCCAGATTAATCAGTACATCGCCCTTGGGCATATATTAGGAACAACAGTGCAGTCTTCAAATGGAGTGGGGTGTCTCTGGATCTCCTAGTTGCTCCACAATGGGGCACCCTTCTTACAGTTTAACAAATTCTTAAATGTGCTGTATGTTTCAGTTTTGGTATAAGTGTCTAAACAATGGTGAAATGTAAGCTAAGTGTTCATCAGTAGGTGACCAGGCGAAGGACTTAACCTGAACTTTAAAAAAATGCATATATCTCTAATTAAGATATTCTTCCAGAGGAATTCCTCTTTCCCTCACATCTCCCATCATCCCACTCATGTAAACGCGTTAATGCGATTGTGAATGGCTCTCCCATTAAGAAGAGAGACATGAGATCATTCTTTGTGGTCAAAAATGTAAGTGTTTTATTGCAGAGTCACACCAGGTAGGCTTTGAGACAATGATGCAAATAATCTTAAAATACAGTACTAGATTCATAAAATAGATATCCTAAATTGCTTAGTGTGTTAACTGCATTTCAGTATCGGCAAAAGTTGCCAGCAGCCCACCAAGGATAACGAGGAGAATCATGGATATAAAATGAATAGGTGCAAATAACTGTACACATTACTGAAATGTCTCTCACAGATATCCGTAATCCAAATTTTATTCAATTAAGGTGACATTTCATGTGATGATTTTTACACAGTTCGCCTCAGGATTCGTGGCTGAGTTTCTGTTGTTCCTAAATGTTTTCACTTTGCAATAACACCACTTACAGTTGACGGTGGAATATCTAGCAGGGAGGAAATTTGACGAACTGACTTAATGCAAAGGTGGTATGCTATAACAGTACCATCACTGAGTTCTTAGGAATGACCCATTCTATTATAAATGTTTGTAAACCCGATTGTATGATTGAGCGCTTGATTGTGTACACCTGTGACAATTGGTTTGAATGAATCATCAGGATTCAGTGACTAAGATGTAAATTGGGCACACAAAACCGTACACAGTACAAACCAGGCTGGTTTTTATGATCACAGATTGACTTGGTTTTCCAGTATGTTGCAATTGATGAAAATGGAAAATGCAAGATGCATGATCCAGATGGTGAATAGGTCATGAACAGTGTGGATGAAAAAGTCCTCAAACATTGAAACTGTTTTCTATTTCTTCACGCAGCACATTCGTGATATTTTTTGTAAATGTAAATAGATTTGCATTTAACATCTATAAAAATTAATATGTAGCCCAGAAGATACAGACACAAGTGAAAAATGATCCATCATCTGTGACATAGCATTGCTAAAAACTCACACTAAAGTTAAATGTATCACTTTTCCCGTGTTATATAAAGAGGCTTGTTTCAGTAACCATGGGCTGAAGACCCAGTAGAACCACAAAGGATACTTTGTCTTTGTTTCTGGCTCTTTATTGCTGTGGGTCTTTGTAGGACACACACACACACACACAGAATTTAGACCTGGGCTGCCACTGAAGATTGTGGACCTTTGACAGCATATCATATTGGGACCCCATCCCAAACCATCCAGTACTGTTTCAAATTGTAGGGCCCCAGTCACTCAGGGGAAACATGAGCCCTAACGCTGTCACTGAGCTGGCAGCGGAAATCAAACCCTCAGCCTGGGAGGTGCCGTCATACCCAGTGTTACCAACTTGCACGGGCACAGCCCAGGAAATCAGGCACAGGAGTCGGGAAGTCAGGTAAACACGGGATTTAATAGCGGACAAACACACTCAGAACAACCAACGTTAATGACCGGACGGGGAAACATATTCGAATGCGGAATTAAATATACAGGACTGATTAACAACAACTGGACACAGCTGGGAACACCGAGATTCCAGACGAGGTAAATGAGTTGGGCGTGGCACACGGGAGGATCAGACAAGCAGGCCATGACACCCAGTTAATTAAGTCAGTGTTTCCCAACTTGGTCCTTGGGGATCCCCAGGCAATCTGTTTTTGCTTCCTCCAAAAGTGTAGACTGTCTGGCAGGGAAGCAGGAGGGAGCAAAAATGTGGACCACTGGGGGGTCCCCAAGGACTGGGTTAGGAAACACTGATCTAAGTAATGTGGTTTAAAGAAATGTGGGTAACACTTTACTTAAGGCAATGTTTTTAGTAATTTCTAACCACATTCAAAATGCATTATAATGCATTCATAAAGTATTAAAAATGTGGATATAAATATTTATAAAAAGGCATAATGTATTAATAATAAATTATTAGCATGCATTTTTTCAAAAGAAGAGTAGTGAAATATTAAAAACCAGAGTAAAAAAAAAATCATCTCATGGAATGCAACCACGGATTTTTCATCTGATATTTTACACATGCTCTTTTGCACCCCCTAACCATATGTTGCCCTAGGCGATCGCCTATGCTGCCTATAGGGCAGGCCGACTCAACTGGAATGCAATTATTGTCTCATGCAATAAGTCATCTCAGTATCACACAGAAACTAATGGTGTAACAAGACGAGACAAGTCTTCTTCTATTGAGCACCTTCGAAGTAAATAGCAAGGACGTCATTTAAAGAGTATGCAAACAATTGTTAAAAACAAACACACACTCACATATATATATATTTACAGAAGGCAACCCCAGACTGTGGAAACCTTTAATGGATGACTCATAATGAGTGATTAATTTCTCTTACTCCCACAGTCATTTATATAGCAATCCCCAAGATTTTGATCATTGCCTTTCAGCCTTCCCCTTTACAGCCATCCATCTCTCAATCACTTGGAGAACAGCATCACAGAGAGCCTGGTGTCTGTCACAGGAGGCAGAGAACACAGGGGCTCATTACTCCAGCACAGGGCACACAGACAGGCAAGTTAGAGACACCCATTTATCTAACCCTGTATGTGTGTGAACTCCACACACATGCACTCAGCGTGTGTCTGACTCCAGCCTGCAAACAAGGAGGTGTCTGTTTATAGGGATACATGTTGTCTATACATCAGTCCATCCATCCATCCATTTTCTGTAACTGCTTGTCCTATTCAGGGTCATAGGGGGCCTGCAGCCTATCCTGGAGACTATGGGTGCAAGGCCTGGAATAACCCAGGATGGGGTGTCACACACACCATTCACTCACATAGGCACAGCTATAGGCAATTTGATATTGCCAGTCAACCTCGTCATGTTTTTTTGGAATGTGGAGGTGGGGAGGGTGGGGTTGGACTACCTGGAGGAAACCCCATGACACACATGGAACCCAGGTGGAGACTCAAACCCGGATACCCAGATCCCAGAAGAGTGTGGCAGCAGTGTTAAACCACTGCACCACCATACGCCCCCCCCCCTCCCCCGGTGGCTTTACAGCAAAATAAATCTGAAACAAGTGATTGGTGAAACTACAGCGGAGCAAATCTGGTGAGACCAGGCATCAGGACAGATGGTGGCTGGGACTCTTGTGCACCGTCTGTCGCTGACTGACCTACCACATCCTATTGGTTGCCGTACCGGTCGTGACCAACATGCAAATGCTTCTAACTGTGAGCCTCCCAAAATCCTTACCTGTTTCTTCACCCAGCGGTGTGGATAACAATGCAGACGTGACTGTTCGTTCCCTCAGTGTGCCTAGACATAGAATGCCAGACTCTGAATCAACAGCTTCAGGACATACATCATTCTGGATCATGTTTCTGAAGACACTGTATGTTTGTTGAACATTAACAGTGATATCTAGACTCCTGTACCACCTCTATAAATCAAACCTGCCAGCCACTTGATAACCTTTGAGAAGTTAATGTGCGTCCCATTCCCTTATTCTGATGACTAGGTTCTTGCTATAAAATTAGCCTAAATGATGTGCTGATGAACAAGAGCCTTTATGTAACTCACTTTATGTAGTTCTATGTAGTTCTGGGAAACGCATAGGGAATTGTGAATGGAAATTTGAGGACTCTCAAAATCAAGTAAACGATCAGGAAGCTGCACTCTACTCTTTATCATTTTGAATAATGGATAGATAATTGAGTTGTTATAGTGCATAATGTGTATGAGCCAACTTTTAAAAACCCGATTAGCTTAGATGTTCTAATCCAGATCAAATAAGGTAAATGTCAATAATGAAACATTAATGAATTTAGTGGCTTTTGAGTGGCAAGTTAATAGACACTTATACTTTTTATAATATGTCACTCATAAGAACAAATGCATAATACATGATAATCTATCTATCCATCCAGCCATGATCGAACCCAGTGCTGGAACAACTGTACACTGGATAAAAATTTCTTTAAACCCCCCCCCCCCCTTTCCAAATTCACACCTAGGACCTGCCTACGCCAGTTGCAGCAGTTGATGATGACACTTAAGTCGCCTCCAAATATCATACCCATCATGCATTGCAGTAGTTAGCAAATTCTACAAACATGCCTTTTTCATTAAATATACACCTCGACAACATAGTTTGACAAAGTTTGCAATTTACATTTCAAATTTGTTTTAAATATTGTACCAAATATTTTTTGTGTTAGGCCTCCCACCATAATGAGATTGTATAGATAAAAATGAGAGGTATAAAAGTAGCATGTCACAAGCTAATATGATATCAGTACTTCAGTTTTCAAAGATGTTTTGCATACATGTAGATTTGCAGTTCATTGTGGGGGGGGGTGGTGGCAAAGTGGGGGCACGGCCCTGGAACAGCTGCCTTGCCTATCAGTCTACCCCTCATCTAACCCCATTCCCAGGTCAGAGGCCTGGACCCCCCATAAGCAGCATGCATAACAAGGCTGCCCTATACCCCAGGTAGGACACCATTAACATAAAGTCACATTATATGAACTTATAAAACAGTGGAGAGATTATTGGCATAGAGCCTTAATCCTCTTGCCTCACAGGTAAATGGATGTTTGGACAAAACTCAAGAACTGACATGCTCTGCATTTTTGACCCTGCCCTGCATTTTTGACCCTGCTCTGCTTCTCAGTCCCTGGCTGCCCTGATATCTGGCACCTTTCATCAAACCTTAACCACAGCTCATGTTTGGCTCAGCAATTTGAGTTATTTGAGGGATGCCTGACGAGTGGCTCAGTGGTTAAAACCATGGCCTCATTCTTCCAGGGCTGTGGGTTTGATGCCGGCGCCTGGTTCCGTGGGTGAATATGACGAAAGGAATTGTGCACTGAACTTGCAGGCCCCGTTTAGTTTCATGCCGCTGCACAATTTAGTGGAGTACCAGCACATTAGTTAATTTAATTTCCTGCACTCAGTGCACGTTCCACCGATAGATATCGGGTGTGCCCTGTGCCGTCGATGTGT